AGGTTTTACCCCGCAGATCTTCAGTTTCTAAGAAGAGCCTACTTTTCTAAAAGATTTGATTTCTTAATTTTCAAGATCTACGGTTGCGAGCTAGTGGAACCAAGATGGGCGAAGGAGGTTTCAGCGGAACTCACCCTGCGGGAAGAAGCCCCTCGGAGGACCGGCCACCACTGGAACCAGGAGCAGCGAGTGTACAAGTGACCGGCACAGGACCGGTCGCAGCAGGCTGGTTTGTCTCACGCGGAGCGGCTTCGGGATTTCGTCCGCCAGCAGCTGCGCCCATCGCGTAAGCGAACCTGCACTCACACCACAGGCACCAGTCTGCTCAGAGGCCAAGTTGTTTTCGTCACCAGATTGTGGCCAGGGGCTGCCCTCGTCTCACTCCGCCAGCCTTTCCCTCTTCACGCTAATCCTTCCCGTGTTCCTATTCGCAGTCATTGTCTTCCCCCAAGCCCAGTCTTTACGGTCGATTCATCTGCCAGTCGGTCAGTCAGTTCTTCCCCTGCTAATTTAACTTCTGGTAAGTCTCCCCCCCTCTATTTTTTCAGCCAGTATGAACCCTGCTCCATATTCCCCGGGTCCTGTCACTTGTGCTGTCCACGGTTCCCCTCCCATCCTCAGAAGCCCCTCGATCCCATCCTCCCTCGATTCGTCCTCTTCATCACCTCTCCATTCCTTCCCCACCACCTCCTTTCATTCTCCTCCTCGTGACAGACCTCCTCTCTACGACCCCTTTCTGAAACACCACTATCCCGCCCACCTCCTTCCTTACTCTCTCTCCCCCGTCTCCGCTGGTTCCCTCCGTGAGGAATTTTCCTCACTCATCGACTCCCCGTCGTCATGTTTTTCTTCTCCGCCCATTTCTATGGATCCTGCGCTCGAGCGCATTTTTTTCATTGATCCGCCTACTGCTTCACTTCTTCCTCTTCACCTCTTTCTCCTTCCCCTGCTTCTTCCCGCATCACTGATCAAAATTCAGAGCCGTACTACAGAACGAACTTACGGGGACCTGCTCAACGTTGAGGATGTCGTTGAGTATGTTTCTTCGGCAGCCTCGTTTACGTTCCAAGATAATCAAAGGAATCTCTTCATCATAAAGAGGAAGCGCTCGGCCAAACTACTTTCCCATTCACTCTTCCCGCCTACAGTCTTTAACCATCTCGTCGTAGACTCGCGCCCCCTCTCTTCCCTATCTTCGCGGAAGTTGTTGAGAGTCCAGCTCGACTTGGCTGAATTCCAGATCAGGAGCGCTCGTGATATTTCAGCGAACTTCTATTGTTTCGCCATGTGCATCGCGAAGATCGGATCAAAATCGGCGCAATCTTTGGTCGGAGAAGGGCTTCTAACGTTGTTGCAGAACCTCCCTGGATTGGCAACGTCGTCATTCCTCGTTTTCCCGGTCACTGTTTTTTTCAAGGACTTTTTCTGCTCCCTTGGCGATGAGGCTGTTCTGGATCTTCATCTCGAAAAGCTTGCAGATTGGGGTCCAGGACCTTGGTTCCGTTACCTGAGGAGGCAAGCTGCCTGAATACGTATTCCATCCGACTCTGCCATTGGACCCTTCGCCGCTATTTGTGCCAGACTATCCCAGACTGTTTTTTTCCTCGAGGAAGGGTTAGAACAATTGTCTTAGCTTTAGGCATAGGATAGTTAGTGATGAAGAGGAAGAGGAAGTAGGCGCCTCAGGCGCCCACCAGGAGGAAGAAGTCTGGAAGATCAGAGATTGAGGAAGCCTCCTCCTCGGATTCCCCATCACCTCCCCCTCTTCCACTCCAACCCCTCTTCCTGGTAACGAAACCTCCCTCCTTATCTCAGTCTCCTGTAAATCCCCAACCTCCTTCCCCAACTGTCTCCAAAACCCCAAGGCAACGGCGCAAACCCAAGATCTGTAGAAATTTGGATTTTCTCATTTTCTTCTTCCTTTTCCTCATTTTTTCCCTCCATCTCTTCACCTTCTTCCTCCTTCTCCATAAACCCACTCGCTCTCTCTGTCTTCCCCCCTAAACTCGTTACCTTCCCATATGGATGGATTTTAATAAATTGTTAAATGCATCTAAGAGGATTTTATTCCTCTTCTTTTCTGTTTAATTTAGAATTAATTGAAGATCTGATTTGCTACCATCGTCTCTTTTGTTTGGAGTTTTTCGCATATTTTTGTTGATCATTGATTAATGACTGGCCCACCGCGTTATAATGAGTAAGAAAGGAGAGCTAAATCAACTATGTATGCGAAATTAGCCTTCGGGTTTCTTGTTAAAAAAAAAAAAAAAAAAAAAAAAAGTATAAATGAAAAGAATAAGGAGTTTTAATCAGGATGGGTACGAATACAATTCGAAGGTTTTTTGCACTTTAAAACATCTCCGATTGTGTTTACTACCGAGCGGTTTCCTGCATTTCTGAGTCCCTCCTTTATTTGTAAGTCCACTGGGTTGGTGTTTTTCTCACTCCCTCAATTTTTCCCCACAAATCCTTTGCTTTAATAATTGCTTCTTTGGCCCAAACTTGAATCATCCATGCGTTTGTTACTTCTCATTTCTTTGGCTAAGCAAAGTAACTTCTATTTTGCAACAACTGCAAGATAATACAGTTTTGCGGATTTAAAAAAAAAAAAAAAAAAAAAAAAAGAACAGACTGACGTATTCACTAGTTAAGGTTGAGCATCAAATCTTGTCATTGAACGACAGACCAAGCAACCTTGCAGCCCTAATAATAATAATAAATAAAAAAATAAAAAAATAAAAAAACTCGATAAGATAAAGGACTGAACCACTACTTAGGATCTTATCCCGCTCTCCCTTCTTTATCTTAGCTTGGTATGCTAAGCAAGAATCTTAGTTCCACCATGACGAACTAAAAAAAAAAAAAAAAAAAAAAAGAGGAAAAAGTTTGAATCATTTCCGATCAAATTCATTAATGATGTCGCTGATGGAGGAACCGCACCAGTTCCCCTTCAACCTCACTGAAAGAACTCGGTCCCAACTTTCCTTTTCCCCTCTGCCCTCTTCCTTTTGGGTTTAGTCATGCATAACATTACGCGAGGCGCAACCGTCAACGACATTCCCTCAATATTCATTAGATCTATGTCACCTTTCAAAAAAAAAAAAAAAGGATAATAAAAAAATGGGGGGGGAGCCTTGTTTTCTGTTTCTTGTCCCCTTTTCTGTGTTTTCATCCAACTATTTTGTTTTCATAATCACTAATATTTTCTCAGCATTATGCCTTTGGCCTATCTTTAAAAAAAAAAAAAAAAAAAAAAAAAAAAAAAAAGGAGGGAGAGGTTTAGGGGAATTGGAAGCAAGGCTACCCCCTTTTTTTTGCTACAGTTGTGGCGCAATTTCAAAATTAGAAAGTGTTTCCTGCTATCAGAAAATGCCTCGCGACACGATAAGTAACAAACAGGTGCATATTAAGAATGGTTTTTGCTGACATGCTTTCTTATTCCCAAGGTAGAGTATTAAAAAAAAAAAAAAAAAAAAAAAAAAGGAAAAAAAAATGAGAGAAAAAAAAAGAAAGAGGGTCGAAAGGGAACCGTGCTACAACAAATTCTCTGCCTACTTTGGATAGTGACACGCGGTATTTGCACGGAAATCGATAAGTATTCTATTACTATCGATATTCACGTCGAATCCTGCATGTCATGATCCGTAGTGATAACCTTCCTGAGTTTTTGAGTTGCGATTCAACTTTGTCTGATTGCAAATCATTTGCGCACATGAGGACATCTAAAAAAGGCAGAGAAGAAAGGAGGAGAAAAAAAAAGAGGAAAGGAAATCATAATGACCTTCAATTTTGTTGTATCGCTTTCATCATCTTCAAAAAATTGTATCATTACCACATTCATTGGAGTTATTAAAAAAAAAAAAAAAAATCATACAGGAGGAAGGAAAATCTTGATTATATCGTTGCTTTGAGGATACTGAAAAAACCATGCTCCTGTGCCGCGTGTATTAGTGTCATATAAGCAAGCTTTATCGTCACTCTGCTAAACCAGTTGGCATGCGACAAAGGATTTATGTCACCCACCGTCACTTCAAACTCGTCACAATCTGATTAATTGGACGTATCTCAGTTGGTAGGTGTATTTGTTAAGTAATCCGTGCTCTATGTGACAAGCCTTGTGTTTAAAAAAAAAAAAAAAAAAAAAAAAAAATCTTTCTAGTCGATGTCACGACCTTGGTATCTCGTCAGCAATCATTACCTCTAGTCTGCCAGACCAGCTGACACGCAACGGGCAAGCAAGCCTCCAATCCGCCATATCAGCATCGATTCAGTGGTACTATTTGTTTAAATGTGCGCTCAGATACGGGTTGAACGAAAGACTTCCTTGCTGATGCTACTTCATCATGTTATTCATACAAGTGTTTTCCTATAAAAAAAAAGAGAAAAAGATCTATATTTCCCCCCCCCCCCCAAAAAAAAAGGGGGGGAGGAATGGTTGGCGCATCATGTGTTTAATAATAATAATAATAATAATAATAATAATAGCCAATTGTGCATCTCCCTAATTGACGACTTTGTTTTGCAGGCATCATTAACCCCCTTCTTGACAGAGTTACGAACATCTTTGTCCTCACCCCCTTTGTAGTCCTTCTCAAGATGATCTCCTTATCAAGAAACCATTTTCTCTTAATATGCTTCCCCTTTAAACTTCTTCAACTCTTTTGCCTTACCTTCGTTATCTTTTTCCTAACCCCACCACTCCTACTCATAGCCCTCCTTTTTTTTGAAGTTCGAGACATCGTTTGGCATAGCACCCCCCAACCAGTCACCCATTTTTCCCATCCTTACGTCTGACCAGTCGTAGCCCTGTCTATAATACTGACAATGGTTCCCCAATCAACTTTACATCTTCATCATCGCCTGGGTTAAGTTAAAATATATATATACTGTCTCTTATACACATCTAGATGTGTATAAGAGACAGCACACACACACACACACACACAAACACGCAAAAGCAGAGAGCAGAGATGTTGATGATTAGCGGGCAGGTCACTTACCGATGACCTCGGCGATGACACGTGGCTGCCTGAGCGGGCGCAGTAACAAGGCCAAGAAACGCGTCAGTGCCAGTACGATGGTGAGCTGGATGATGAAAAGCGGCAGCGAGAACTCCAGCGAGTCATGAGGCTTGGCCAGGATCCCGTCCGACGTTGTACCTCCCGCCATGGCTCCCGCTTCTCCCCCTCCTCCTCCTCCTCCTCCTCCTATCTAAGATACAAGATCAGCTATGCCTGCCTGATCGTCCTCCACTCACCAATTCAACTTCAGCAACGACTGCAGGATCGCTCTCCGAAGGAGAACGACCTGTTATACAAGCAAGCTCAGTTGTGGCTTGCTAGCCGCTACACCCACACAGCCATCCTCCCAGGCACGAGCTGCTAGCGTCTTCCCCCTAACACAATGCGCCCGCCGTCATTTTGGCTGCACCGACGCATCCTCATTTTCCCTGCATCGGACCGGAGAGATAGCTTGTATACATTGGTTATCAGGGTGCGTTGTGTTCGCGGGAAGACAGTAGCTCCCGTCACAAGAAGAAGACCGGCTATGGCGACCAGCGTGTGCATGTCACCACTTAATTACATACAGGACAGGTCGTAATTGCAGTCAGATACATCCGATTGTCTGTCACCTCAGATCTCCAGCGGCGCAGCACTCCTCCCATCGTCTTGAAGTTCCCCTTTGAACAACTCCGCCTCAAATGTCCACACCAACCCCTCTCTCTCTCTCTCTCTCTCTCTCTCACACACACACACACACACACACATGATTCTGGTGTCTCCGAATCGAACAAACGACCCGACCACAAATCTGCGTGGTCTTTAGGGGAAAAAAAAAAAAAAAAGCTGCGCGGTCACCAATATCCGGCCTCACTGCCCTACAAAGGAGGTCCGATACACTCAAAAAGGATCGATCAATACAAATGCATGGATACGGTCCAGTAACCGACGACATTCAACTCAGGGCTGGGCGTAATTGCGATCAGATACAGTGCCTGTCTCCACTATACAATATTCCACATGCATTTGGACTCTTCCTGGGCACAGTTTTTGACTCGTCCGAATGCACCTGGTCCTCATTGCCTCCAAATACATGTAAGGAAGTGTGTAGTGGAGCGAAGCCCACATCCATTTCTGCCAGTAATTGCACTCAGATACACATACAGGAGTGTCCTCGTGTGGGGTACACCAGGCCTTTTTTTTCTTTTTTTTTTGGACCAGGCCTTTTCGGACTGATCTGTGGACGTCATTTCAGTCAGATACATCCACGACGTATCACTGTTGCAGTTGAGAATCGAGAACTCCCGCCGATGGCGAGGAGAAGAAACAAACAGGACCATTTTTCACGCCACACGCCGACATTTTAATTTAAATCTGTCGGGACGATAACAGGTCCCAATACATTCAAAATGATGGCGCCAAAAAGAAAACAACCAATGGGCCTTTAGCTCAGTTGGACCAGGCGCGCAAGCTGTTGAAAATTGAAAATTGAAAATTGAAAATTGAAAATCGGTTATTAAAAAAAAAAGAATGAAAATTGAAAATTGAAAGAATAGAGAGCCAAGTTCGAATCCAAAGAAGGGGCCTCGCCGCACTACTCTCCACATGCACAACAGACAAAAATCATGGCGCTGTATCTTTCCATATTCTCGCGGAAGATTCACTCTCGTCTTGCACATTTCGAGCAGCGAGGCCCAAGACTTTTTTTTTTTTTTTTTTTNTATTGTGGGATTTTTTTTTTTTTTTTTTTATTAAATGTTTAAAAGGGCGACGACCTTGAAATATTATCATTGAGCTGACCGGCCCCAAGCAATTCGTTAGTAGTTGGCTTTACTTGTCAAGTTCCATCATCTGGATTCGAACACTATTGTGTTTCAAACTTATCCTGACCCTTACCTTACTATTCAATTTCTCTCTGGCACTTTCCCTAAATCCTTTTTTACCTTACCTGTAGCATGTCACCTTTCTTTCTGTTTCCTTCTTCCCACTTATAACCTTCACGCAGATTACTATTTTTAAGTCCGGAAATGGTAAAAGTTGGTGATCAGTTTGAATGGGAAATGAGATTTTCTCACGTATGCAATCCAATTAATTCTACCCTTTTCTCTTAGTAGTACTTCTGCATTATGATGAACTTACGCATATTCCTCAAGGAAACTATTTCATCTATACTCAACTTTCTTTATAGGCGAAACCGACGGAAAAAAAAAAAAAAAAAAAAAAAAAAGGAGAGAAGAAAGAGAAAGAGAATAAGAAAGGAGGAAAGAGGAGGAAAGAGGAGGAAGAATAGAACATTATGCCTTTACAATTTAAAAGAAACGGGAAAGAAGGGAGGGGAAAAAAAATCCTTTAGAATCATGTCACCAAGCCAACCCTCTTAGCCTTATTAAAACACCATTAATCAATCCTCTCCTAACTTATGGTCTTGTCTATGCTTTTCAAATGAATTTCATGCTCTTAGCATACCTCAATGCCTCTGGTCCTCTCTCCCTCACAGGGGCTGAGGTTCTTGCTATCCTACCCATTTTTCCACCTATCTATACCCCTGTTAAGATCATCCAATGCCTCAACCCCGCTATTCCTGACCCCCCAAAACTACTATTCTTAGTCATTCCAATCAATTCTCAAACACAGTATAAGGTCAGCGCTCTAGCAATCAAAAACAAACCAATATCTCCCCCCACTCCTCTCTCCCGTCCACCTCCACCATTCCCCAGGGCACCCCCCCCTAATCTTTCTGTCACCGCTTCCCCTCCGATCCCCTAAACTCTCTGCAGCCCCAGCACTCCACTCCAGCCCCCACCTTGCAGCTCACCCCCCCTGCCCAAACGATCTCCCTGGAACTTTTCGAGCAACTCAAGATTCAACTACTTAAGCAAGAAAGCGAGACCAAGTCAGTCGCGGAGACTTTCGTGAAGAAACTTGCTAAGAAAGAAGAAGAGACCCAAGCCGCCAATGAACTCTATTGAAACTTACTCTCTAACATGGAAGTCATTAAAATCCGTATCGCCGACAAGTCTGGCCCTTCATACGATGAACTCCAAGCTTGGTACAAGATGTTTCGCGCCCCTGCTTGGCATCACCAAGTCGCTACAGTCATTCGCTTCTACACCATCAACCTCAACTACCAACACCTTGGTAGGGCTATGGCCAGTGACTTTGCAACTCGAGTAGCATCAGTGGCTAAGGACTGCATTGATCATAAGATTTCTAAGGAGACAAGGTCAGCCCTTAACAAGGTCATCCGCGAGGGTATGGAGAAAGCACTTCCCATCATCGAGTCAGAGTACAATTATTGCTTAAACATCGCAAGGAGGGACTACTCTAGGTAAGCACAAGGGCAGTCGCCCGATATAAAAAAAAAACATTATCGCCCTGGACCGCTAAGTAGGTTCACACAATTCACGTCCATGAGCTTATCTATCTCTCTCTATCTTTTATTCTTGCATATATGGCAAGTCAAAAGCAGACCCATCTTCCAGCCGAAGGAAGGACGACATTAGCAAGTCAGATGACTTCAAGAAATCCTCTTCAAAGCGCCATTATGATGACAAGTCAGACAGGGGCTACGACTTCAACCATTCCTCTAAGCGTCCTCACCATGACTCAGATCCAAAGAACAATCACTCTTCCTCTTCAGCAGACCCCGTCAGACATTCAGACTAATGAATCGCCTTTCCATATCCCGTCTATTCCATCAATCCCCTCCAACCTCTCTTCCACTGCTACAGTCTCGCAACTGCGCCTTGCCTCCTTTGCCCTTCAAGAACCTACCTCTTGGCTCCGCAATCCAGACCACTTCTTTGTCATTTCTCCTTCGCACTACTTCAGTAACTGGTCACTCCTCCTTTCTTCCTCCTCAAGAACGTACTCTCACTCTGTTCTCCAACGGATCCTGCATGGAGTCAGACTCAATTTTGTTGGTACTAAGCATATCCCTGTTAAAAAGATTATTGAAGTCAGGCATATGGTAAAGAAAGTTTATTCAGCCTCTGCTTTCAAAAGAGTCCTCTTGTGTGAAAACCCCCCACCTACCTCAATCCCCAACCACTCCCTTCTCCCTCACCATAATAACTTCATCACCGCTTCAATTTCTCAACTACTCTCATATGGTGTCATCGAGTTTTCCCCGAACCCCATGGTTATCAATCCAGTCTTTGCTATCGAAAACGCTTCCAAAACCAGATTTATCTTAAATGATAGATTTCTTAACCTCTTCCTATCCTTTCCAGAATTCCACTATGAATCCATCAATGGCCTGGTAGCCCCACTTTCTGGTTCTCCGTCACAAGACTTTCTGACCTCTTTTGACATAAAAAATGGATACTACCATATTCCAGTCCACCGTGACCACAAACCTTACCTTGCCTTCTCCTGGGAAGGAACCACTTACCAATTCAGAAGTGTATGTTTTGGCGTATCTGCCGCATGTTGGATTTTTACCACAGTAATGCAAGAAATTATGGCAGAACTTCGCCTCCGCCATATTTTTATCACCTCATATATCGATGACTCTGCTCTAGCAAATTCAAACCTTCCCCCTCTTCTTTGGCAATCCTTTAACTATGTCGCCCTTCTCTACAACCTGGGGTTTTTCCTAAGTCTTAACAAATGTTCCTTTCTTCCTTCACAATGCATTAGATTCCTGGGTTTTATGATTGATTCCCACTCAAAAAGAATTAGGGCTCCGAAAGATAAGGCAAAAAAAAATTCAAACCCTCATCGCTACAACAACCCATACCACCCCTTCAAGTAGAACCCTAGCTAAACTTGTTGGGAAACTTGCTTCCCTCTCGCAAGCCTTTTTACCTGCTCTTTTATTCATATCATCCATCTATAAAGCTATCTCCCCCTCCAACTGGGACTCTCCCATCCCCATCTTAGACTCTTTAATTCAGGATCTATTTTGGTGGGCAGAGCACCTACCCCGCCTCCCTGACCGACTTTGGACTAAACGATCCATTACCTCTACTATCTCGACAAACGCATCCACCACCCAAATTGGCGCCATTATCACTCCTTCCTCAGGCCCTACGCTTCACTTTAATCAATGTCTTCCCTGTTATCTCCTCCCTGCTTCCTCCACGCATAGAGAACTGTTCGCAATCCTTCAAACTCTCCTCCTTCTTCAAAACTCGCACCCTCACTTTCTTGTTTCTTCCGCCATCAGGCTGTTTTCAGACAACCAATCTTCGGTAGCCCTTCTCAACAATCTTCGATCCTCTGATCCTCTCTTCAACCACTGGCTCCGTTTGATCTCTTCATTGCTTATTTCTCATGATACCTAGCTCTTTCCCATCTGGATACCCAGGGATCTAAACCAAATCACCGACGACTTGTCTAAAACCCAGGACAATACCGACTGGGGCATCTCCTCCTACCTCAAGAATATGATATTCAACTTGTTAGGTGCTCCCGCAATTGACCTTTTCGCCTCAGATTATCATCATGCCTGCTCCGTCTATATATCCAGAACATGGTCCTCAACAACATCCTTCGTTGATGCACTATCACTCGATTGGAACTTGCTCCCAGCTTCGCCTTACATATGTTTTTTTCCCCCAACTTCTCTGATCCACGAGGTTCTGACTCTTGCCTCATCCGCCCCTGCCAACTACCTCTTCATTTTTCTGAACTCGTGCAAAGCAAATTGGCTGTATCAC